AGGTAGGTAGGTAGGTAGGTAGGTAGGTAGGTAGGTAGGTAGGTAGGTAGGTAGGTAGGTAGGTATATTTACACAATATATAATAATAAAATATTCATATTATATGATATATTTATAAATGTTTTTACTATGTTGGTATATTTACTTCTCTAAGTGGGTTGTTCCGTCAGCTAAAGGCATTATTTAGAGTTTCTAGACTCCAGTAAACGATTAATTGATTACTGAATTTGTTGATCATTATTTCAATAATAGATTAGTCACCAATAATCCAACTGATTGTTTCAGCCGTATATGTGATTACAATTTTTATTATTATTATGTGTTGTGTTATGGACCTGGAAAAGCAAATGGTAGGAACTGATCTCTGTAAAAACGTTTTACTTTCTCTATGTTTCAGCCACCTATGTTAAATTCCCCATTCCCCATTGATTAATCAATAAAGACTTGTGTTAAACTTTTGTTTATTTTATTTTTCTGACACCTTAAAGCAGTTCCTTATGTTATCAGTTGTCTTATTTATAGAATATTGGACAGGATCATCCTAAAGGTGTGTGCATGCCAACTGTCCGAAAATGTTATACCAAAACAGTTCCAATTTATAAAACCACATGTACACTAACCAGAAAATCTCTTTTATAGATCACAGTTACCGGTATACATCAAAATTTACCTACAAGTTTCTGCCTCATGCTTGATCTTTTAAAAACCCATATTTAAATAGTTCCTACAAAGCACCACAGAAATGTAATTGTGCACTTGAATGCGCCACTCAGTCATTGTTTCTGTCAGGGTCTCTCGGGTTTGGCTTTTTTTCTAGTGTGAGTGAGCTTCTTTGCTGGTGACTGGGCTGACCCGTGTTGCTGCATCCCTGAGAACATTTCTCAATCAAGATGACTGGCATGTATATAAGGAGGCGAAGGATCATCTCTCTCTGCTAGAGGGTTGTTATTGATGGTATTGCAGACAAAGACCTAAACCAGGAATTTCATTCTTGTTGAAATTTGTTTTCTTGTGAATCTCTTTTAATGAGGACTTTGTTGTTGTTCCAGACAACCAGGTAAACCTCAGTTCATCTCAAATCTTCATGGAAAAGGTCATACCTGTGCACAGTAGTTTTCAGTTTTCATCTCCTGACTGCCTGCTCTCCGGCACAATGTCTCGTGCAAGTACCAGTGCTCTCAGATCTCACTAACATTCTCCTGGACCTCTGGGGTACAGTCTTCAAATCCCGCCAAATCAAACCTGTAGAGATCCATGCTACCTCCCCTGCATGATCCAAGTAACCAAACCAAACAGCCATCAGTTGTCATCAACCAACTCCTTCCTGATCAACCTGGTTTCTCCCTTCAGACTAACCAGAAAGTTCAACTGACTTCCTGCAGTCTTCCACTTCCTGATTGTTGTTGCTTCTGTAAATAAAACTCACTGGTTCTCTGTGTGATTCTGCATATGGGTCAAAAGGCAACAAATCAACCTGTCATTTCATGGTTACCATTGGCAACCACAGGAAAGAGCGCAGGCAAATGAAGTTTTAACAAGGTTGGCAGTTAAGTGCAGGGTAGGATGTTTGGTAGCAACAGCTGCAGGGTGACAAATAAAGGGAAGCATTATGAATGGCAACAAGAGTCTGAAAGGACTGATATTAACAATGCCTTTTGAGACAGATCTTGAGTTTATTACTCGCTTTGATATGTCAGACTTGTGAATAATTTCTCAGTATTAATTTCTTCCTAAAAGTGTTTAATTATGTTTAACCTTTACAGTATGGGGGAGTTTATGTTTTTAAGAGCCAATTACCAGGAACCCGAGAGTGTTTAACAGGTATAATCAGTAAAGAGAAAAAAATATTTAAAAAAACCCCAATCTGGATAAACATTTCTCTGTGGTTTAGAGTGTTTCTCTTTCATACTCAAAAAGTGGCACAATGACCACAAAATCTTTCTCATGCACCACCCCC